GAATTAAGCAAAACAGAGTCAGGTGGACAAGAGAACAGAATGAATGCAGGTAATACACAACCAAGTTTAGGAATCCGGAAGGGTATAAATAATGGAATTAATGTGATAAATTAAGGGGGAAAGGGGGGGGGGCATCAAAACGTCGTCATTGTTGCCTGTCCGGTGGCCTGTGGTCAAGCACTGACTGACAGCGCCATCCTTCGTCGGCTAAAAAAAGAAAAACAGCTTCGTCAAACTGAACCAACAGAAACCACGACACACCAGAAATCGGTTCTCGCCTCCTTCCTCGCACTTACTTGTATCAATCCTCTACCAGCCTACCAGGCGCACAACCAGACAACACGCCGCGGACCGCACCTGCAGTAGTCCAGCCTGCGGAGGCTTGCCGGGGTGTGCCAGTGCACGAAAATCCACCGCCTCTCGTCACCGCGGTCCGGCTTTGGGGCAGCGGCAGCAGCAGCAGCAGCAGCAGCAGCAGCGCCGCCGGTACTATCACCACCACCAGAAGAACGGCCTGAACACTCCAGAGCGGCAGCAGCACCGCCCGCGCCGCGCAACCTCGACGGCCGCTCCCCCCCTGCCTCCGGCGCCGCAGCGGCGCCAGCTGCGGGGTCGGGACCGGAGTGGGAGGGCGGACGAGACGGTAAGCTCTCGACCAGCGCTGCCGCCTTCCGCAGCAACAACGACGTAGTCGAAGACGCGGGGATGGTCGGGGGCGGGGATGATGAAGCCGACCGCGAGGCTGAGTCGCCGCCGCCCCCGCTCCGCGCCCCCCTGCTGCCGGCGGCGGCGCCGGCCGGCGTGTCTTGGCCCTCCGGCATCTTGTCAACCACCTTGCCCACAAGGATTGGGCGGCGGTCGCACTTCTTGGACTTGGGGGGCACCAGGAACACGAAGCGCCCGAGAGCGAACTCGGCATCGGCGAGAAGGCTCTCCTCCTCCCTCTTCTCCTTTTTCCCCCTGGCGGCGACGGCGGCTTTCGCTTCTGCCGTGGTGGGGCTTGCCTTCGCTTCTGCCTTGGTGGGGCTTGCCTTCGCTTCTGCCTTGGTGGGGCTTGCCTTCGCTTCTGCCTTGGTGGGGCTTGCCTTCGCTTCTGCCTTGGTGGGGCTTGCCTTCGCCCGCCTCGCTGCCGTCGAGCGCAGCCGGCCTTTCTCGAGATCTGCGGCGGGTACCTTCATATCAGTTTCAGAATCAGAGTCGCAAGTCGGCGGTGGCGGCGGCTTCGACGGCGACGATTCCGCGACCTCCGCGCTCGCCGGTGCCGCCGCGGCCTTCCCTTTGCCCTTCGTCGTCACCCTCCCCGACGCCGTCTTTTGCCTCTTAACCGCCCCGCGACCACCCTCCTCCTCCTCCTCCTCCTCCTCCTCCTCCGGCTCCGGCTCCTCCTCCTCATCACGAGAGTCGCTCGCACCCCCCGCCGCCTTCCTCTTGCCCCGTAACCAGGGCCTGGACTCATCACCCTCCTCCGCCCCCTTTGCACCCTCACCACGGCTGCCCCGCGACTCCTCCTCCTCCTCCTCGTCCTCGTCCTCCTCCGCCTCCTCCTCTTCCCCAGCGTCACCCACACCCGCCTCCGCCTCCGCCTCTGCCCCCGCCTCTGCCCCCGCCGCAGGTCTCTCATCCTCCGAGCCCTCCTGCGCATCATCATCCCAGTCTACCGGCACCCCCATCCCGTCCTCCTCTGCCTCGACCCAGCCTCCGCCGTGCGCACCCCGCGCCCCGCCGCCGCCGCCGCCGCCGCCGCCGCCGTCGTCTCCGGCATCGGGGACCTTCCAGCCCGTGGACTCCAGGCTCATGGAGCCTGGGAAGCGGTGCCGCTTGCAGTACAGCCGTGACCGGTCGCCGGGGAGGCCGTAGCGCGGGATTTCCAAGCAACCTTCAGAGAGACACGAGGCGTACTGGTGGTCGGGAGGGGGGGGGGGGGGGG